TAAGATTTGTTTTACTACTCCGTGCCTACTTTATTGTCAGTGTTGCTAAACAGATTTAAATGCAATCTGATATTTTCAATATGTAGTGCATTTAGCCATGTTCCCCTCTTAGTATCACTGTTATAATTTGATCATTGTGAAAATCACCAAGTGTATTAGCGTCAAGCAAACTATATGAATGCTTTTACAGAAAAGGATGTTGATCCCACTGTCCTATAGCTATTAGTTTTCTTCTAGGTCTTGCCACATTGGCAATCTCTTAACTGGATTGGATTCTTGTATCTTGCATCCACAGATCTTTTCAATCCCTTGAGAAACAGACAAAGTTAACATTGGATGCAACAGCGTTTCAGTTGAAACATTAACATTAATGTGGAGGTGCTGGTTTTGGACGGGGTGGACAAAGTCAGAAGTCACATGATACCAGGTTATAGTCCAACAGGTTTATTTGGAATCTCAAGCTTTTGGAGCACAGCCCCTTCGTCAGTTGCAGTGAGAGAGCAGAGTGCACAGACTGAGTTTATAGGCAGAGAAATCAAGGGCAGATCGTACAACTAGTGTGAGTGGACACTCAGAAAATAAGTCTCTGCAAGTGACCAAGAGTGTTAGATGGTGAGTAAAGTGTCAACAGCTGAATAACCAGCAAAGGGTTGACTTGTAATCTGATTAAGTGAGGCAGAGAGATGATAACAAATTAAAAATGTCGTACTGGAGACAAACTAAATGACTGCAATACCATAATAGGTATAAGACTCGCATGCTGAGGGTCTAACCAAAGTAATAAGTAATTCAAAACTGTACAGACTAATTAAGGTAGAGAGATCCTAACAACTTACCAAGGTGATGCTGTCAAAACAGGACAGCAAGGAAGATTTTACAGATTCAGAACAGTATGGTGGGGTCCCTTGTAGCATGACATGAACCCAAGATCACAGTTGAGGCTGTCTTCTTGGGTACGGACTTGGCTGCCAGTTTCTGCTGGGCGATTCTGTGATGTTGTATATCTCAACGTCCGCCATGGAGGATGCTTACCTGAAGATCAGAAGCTGAATGCCCTTGACTGCTGGGAGGGAACATTCCTGTCTGGCGATTGATATGTGGTGTCCATTCATCTGTTGTCATAGCGTCTGCTTGGTCTCGCCAATATACCATGTCTCAGGGCATCCTTGCCTGTAGCGTAGGAGGGAGACCACATTGACCAAGTCAAGTGACTTGATCTCTGCCTATAAACTGTTTCTGTGTGCTCTGCTCTCACCGCACCTGACGAAGGGGCTGTGCTCCGAAAGCTTGTGTGGTTTCAAATAAACCTGTAGGACCATAACCTGGTGTCGTGTGACTTCTGACTTCATTGAACATCAAGATCAGTCATTTGATGGAATCACTATAACTTCTGTTTGCATTTTAGTTTGGCCAACCAGGAGAGGTAGCCATCCATAGGAAATTGCAGAAAAACTGCAATATAAATTTTAAAAAATTAACGTTTTAGTCATTTAGTCGATGATATTATCAAACTTTGAAAAAAGTCTCAATAGGAGGTAGGTCAAATCGGTATATATAAATGCACCCTGGGAGCTGGCAGTATGACATTTATCTTGTATGTATAAGTGTGTGCAGTTTAAGAACCATATTTAAAATGCTTTATTTCCTGAGCCAGCAGCATTTTCTTTCAGCTGTTATTGCTATTAATTTTTTTTTCTTTTTTAGTAAAATCACAGCCATTTGGAATAGATGATAAGGTAAGTGCAGTCTCCATATGTATGTTTGTCAATGGAAATATTTCTCCCCACTAAGTAAAATTGTGCATGTGAAAATAAAAATCCATTGCCTCTCCAGAAATAACTTTTCTCATGCCTCTAATCTATGGAAAAAGACAATATATGGCATGAACTAGATTTACAGCTTGATTGTTTTGAGCTCGTGAGGACATTATCTCAATTCAGTTTTTCCTCAAGGAAAATGATAAATGCCACAAAAAGGACCCAGCAAATGAATTGGCTCTTAAATGCAATCTATTATGCACATTTAATAGGCATGAGTATTTACATTGTTCGTTTCCAAAATTCTGTACTTCTAGTTTAGTTAAGTTGAAGAAAAAGTTTTGTGAAGGAGAAGTACATCTGAACTTCTTACTCTTCCACTTCATGTTTCTTTTCCATAATTCTTTGCACTTGGCTTCTTTTTATAATGCTGCCTCAATTTTTTTTTTTTCAAAACGTTAGTACTTTGGACCGGTTGCAAGCTTTAAATAATGACCAGGTGATTTTTCTTTTCTGACCTATATTCCATTTAGGTTGAAGAGAGAAGAGTAATTTTGATTATTCTTCATAGACTGCATGATCATCTAGCAAAAATAGCAGGTAAGATAACCTGTCTGTGCTTTTGTATAATTGATTTCTTGGTGTTAGTGATGGTTTTGAAATATTGATTATGCTACTAGAACTAATTCAAATGTCAGTTGGGAAATTCAATTATTTAAATCTGAGATTTTGCTTGGGCTCCTTAGAAATGAGGAACCATGCATCCATTCTGACGGTTCTCCTGTAGACTGTCCGAGCAAGGCAAACCACGCATCCTTTTCGCAGCAATCAGCTGCCATGTTCTGAAATTTAAAGGCCCCAATAGTGTCTTTGGCTGATGTCAAAGGCAGAGTACGTATGCTTGGTGCAGTTTTAGTCTTCAGAGGTGCCAGATGAGGGGGCGTGGGAAGCTGTGTGTGCAGGGTGGCAGCTGTGGAAGAGGGTAGGGCACCAAGTCAGGATGATGGGGATCAGGTGGTAATATACGTGATGCTGTATTTCGCGTAAGGTTAGTGTGTGTTGGAGCCATTAGGTCTAATGGGGAAAGTGGATGTCATGACAGAATGTTTCAGGTGTGAGGAAGGAGGGAGTGTGTCAGGTCAGGTTGATGGAGCGGTGGATTGAAAAGGGAGATTGGTGTTTTGGGAGGGGAAAGAAAAGGGGATTGGATGTTAGAGAGGGAGCATCTGTGGTACATTTTGCAATCAACAGTGAACATCCTGACTTCTGACATAATGGAGGCAAGGTCATTGAAGCGTCTGAACATAGCTGGGCTTAGGACGTTACCCTGAGGAACCCTTGCCGAGATGTTCTATAGCTACTGAGATAATTAACTTCTGGCAACCGCATTATTTTCCTTTTGTGCTAGGTATAACTCCAACCAGTGGAGTTTTCCTCCTGGTTCCTATTGATTCTGGTTATGTTAGGGCTTCTTGATACTACACTCGATCAAACGTGTTCTTAATGTCATAGGTAGCCACCGTTATTATACCTGGAATTCAGCTGCCCTTTGCACATTTGAACCAAGGCTTTAATGAGGTCAGGAGTTGAACAGTCCTGGCAGAACCCAAACTGAACATCAGTGAACAGGTTATTGCAAAGCAATTTCCATTTGATAGCACTGTTGGTGACACCTTCCATCATCTTTAATGATTGAGAGTAGACTGCTAGGACAGGAATTGGCCGGATTGGATTTGTGCTGCCTTCTTTACATAGGGCCTATCTTGGTCATTTTTCCAACTGTTCCAATAAACATTTATTTAGTTATTTAAAACGTTAGGACGTCATGGATGATCAATCGGCAAAAAGCTTTTCGTATCACGTCTGTTTGCACATTAGTCATTTGCAAGGGTCAATTTCTGATTTGTTTTTGGCCAAGTGCCATTATAAAATGAGTATCAAATTTAGCACCCAGATGCTGCAGTTGAGCTTTTGATATCAGCGAATGTAGTAAACAGTTTTGGATTGCAACCTGGGGTTGGTTTTTTTTTTAATTCATTCATTGGAATTGGGCAACACTGGCTTTTATTGACTCTCTCTAGTTGCCCTTGAGAAGGTGGTGGTGAGCTGCTGCTTTAAACTGCTGCATCATGTGCTGTGGGTTAATCCACAATGCTGTTGGAGAGTAAATTCCATGATTTGACCCAATGACAATGAAGGAATGATGGTATATTTCCAAGTCAAGTAGTTGAGTGGCTTGTGGGGGAACCTGCAGGTGGTGGGGCTCCCATGTATCTGCTGCCCTTTTCCTTCTAGATGGAAAGGGGTCCTGTGTTAGAAAGTGCTGTCAAAGAATCTTCAGTGCATCGTGTAGATAATACACACTGTTGCGACTGAGCATCAGTGGTGGAGTGTGGATGTGGGGCCAGTCAAGCAGGCTCCTTTGTCCTGGATGATGCCAAGCTGCTTGACTATTGGAACTGCAACATCCAGACCAGTGGGGAGTATTTCATCCCAAACCTGACTTGTGCTTTCTTGATGATAGACAGGCTTTGGGGAGTGAAGAGTTGAGTTGTGCGCCACAATATTCCTAGCGTTTGACCTGCTCGTGTAGCCACACTGTTTGTGGGGAGTCCAGTTGTTTTTGGTCAATAGTAACCCCAATGATGTTCATAGTGGGAGATTCAGTAATGGCAATACCTTTGAATGTCAGGGGGCAGTGGTTAGATTTCCTTAGAGGAGAAGGTCATTGCTTGGCCTTTGTGTGGCACGAATATTATTTGCCGTATGTCAGCCTAAACCTGGATATTGTCTAGATCTTGTTGCATCTGGACATGGACTGATTCAGTATCTGAGGAATTGTGAATAATGCTGAACATTGTGCAATCATCGATGAACATCCTCACTTCTGGTCTTACGAGGGAGTGAAGGTCATTGAAGCAGGCGAAGATAGTTGGACCTAGGACACCCCCTGAGGAGCTCCTGCAGAGATGTCCTGGACCTGAGATGACTGACCTCCAATAACCGCAACTATCTTCCTATGTGCCAGGTATGACTTCAACCAGTGGAGAGTTTGTCCCCGAAACCCATTTATTCCAGTTTTGCTAGGGCTCCTTGATGCCACACTGTCTAATGCAGGCTTGACATCGAGAGCTGTCACTCTCTCCTCACCTTTTGGAATTCACATCTTTTGCCCATGATTGAACTGAGCCTGTAATGAGGTCAGGAGCTGTCTGGTGCTGGTGGAACCCAAACTAGGCATGAGTGAGCAGGTTATTGCTGAGCATGTGCTGCTTAATAACCCCGGCATCTTTTATTATTTTACTGGTGATCAAGATTATACTGATGGGGCAGTAATTGGCCGGATTGGATTTGATCTGCTTTTTGTATACAGGACATAACGTGGGCAATTTCCACTTTCAGGTAGATGCCTATACTGGAAGAGTTTGGCTAGGAGAGCACCAAGTTCTGGAGCTCAAATATTCAGTACTATTGCTGGGATGTTGTCAGGCCCCATAGCCTTTGCGGTATCCAGTGCCTCCAACCATTTCTTGATATCACATGGAACGAATCAAATTAGCTGAAGACTATTTAAGTGACAGCTACACTCTGGCAATTGAATGAATCAGTCTGAATTAATGAGGAGGAACAGAAGAATATCGAATATCATATGAAGCTGTAATTAAAAATGTCAAGAGAAAATGAACTCATTCATACTTTTGTATTTAAAGTGTCTACAAATTTGAAATGAAGTCAAACTCGTGACGTTAAAACGTGTCAGCATCAAGAGTATTACATCTTGTCATTGCAAAACACGTTTGCTTTTTGCCACTCATTTTAAATTTCTCTTGCAGTTTTTAAAGGGTCTATACTGACCTGATTTATATTCCTAATGGTTTTTTTCCTAATTCCAGGAGAGTACGATTGTGGAGATCATGTCCATTATAAAAACAGAAGTCTGTCTGTCCAAGATGCTGCTGAGTATGTAACTGTAAGTTGTATCAGGCTTATCTTTTCCTTGCGATTTCATTTTATTACATAAATTGATTGAGCAAGTTCTCTGCTATAAAATGTTTGTCCTTCTACAGCTGAGATAAGCATAAACGTCAAAGTAGTCAGAAGAACAGTACTGAAACAGCTTTTGCCAAATGTATGTTTGACCTTTGCATACTGCATGGCCCCAATAGTTCTGAGAATTTTTTGCTGGGATTGAAGGTTTTGAGCTGTAGGGAGAGGCTGAATAGGCTGGGACTTTTTTCCCTAGTGTCAGAGAATGAGAGTTGACCTGTGTAGAGGTTTACAGAATCATGAGGGGCATGGATAAGGTTAATAGTTAAGGTCTTTTTCCCAGGCTAGAGGAGTCCAAATCTCGAAGGCACAAGTTGAAGGTGGGAAGGGAAATATTTAAAAAGCATCTCGGGCAGTTTTTTTCATGCACTGGGTGGCACATGGCGGCTGGTACAATTACAACATTTAAAAGGCATAAAAATGGGTATATGAATAGGAGGTCTTGGACGGATATGGGCCAATTGCTGGTATATGGAAATAGATTAATTTCAGATATCTTGTCGGCATGGATGGGTTGGACCGAAGGGTCTGTTTCCATGCTATGCAACTCTGACTCAATAATTTCTCATGTAAAATTTCAGTGGGGATCCCTTGTGTGCACAACAGCTGTGATGATTTCCTTGGAGATTTGATAACTGCATAAATTTAAAATGACTACCCATGAAGTGTTCTGAATAAAGGCGCAAAAATGGAAATTATAAACATTTGGATTGATGTCCTGACTTAATTAGAATGGAAGTGATTATTGGAAATCAGTTTCAAACCACAACAGTAGATTCCATTGGTATTTGAGAATATTCCTCAAGTAGGCAAGTGAGACCAAGTTGAAAACATTGTGTATCAGAATTTTTTTTATTATTTTTCCATGTAAAGCTAACCATTCATAAGTAACATACATATATGTGGTGATTTGGTTTCTTTTATTAAAGTTTGATTTTGGTTGGTGGTCAACCTTGAATTAACAAATTATTTTACCTTGGAGAAGCAAATATGTACTGGGTTTGGACTTGATTAAAGTTTTGCTCTAAACTGCTTTCTATTCACAATGAAAAGGAGGGCAGTCTTTCAAAATCTACTGTAATAAAGATCTTAAGTTCCTTGTCATTCTGAAAAAATATTCAATTTAAGGAAATTTATCATTTGACCGTTTTGTATCTTTGATAAATGAAGAAAACAAAATTATTCATTAACTAAGGTTGAAGTGGTGTGAGAACTTGAACTTTGTCCCCTCTCTATACAACTGCTGTCAATCATTTAGTCTATCATTCTTTAACAACTCCTGAATTGTAATTTATGTATAGTTAATTAATCCTTAAACAAATTTTTCTTCATGTACTCCTCATTTGTTTCAACTAATTATGATTTCCCTAATTTGCCAGTATAGTAGAACCTAGTGTTGATGCGGGCTGAAATGTTATTTGGTTGTTGGCACTGATATTTAATAACTTACAAAAAAAATGCACAATATGTGAATATTTGCACAACTACGTCAGTTGTCATTCGATATAGTTGAGCAAACTGTTAAGCTTTTTGATCCACTTTCTGTGGATTGTACTTTGCATGAGAGAGAAATCAGACATTATGTTTAGATCTGTAACAAGTTAAAATGCATATGTTACCTCTGGGTGTGGTGGTTGGCCTAGTTGATTTCTGAATTTGAGGTGTATGTGCTTTATGTAATCTAAAATGTTTTTTCATTTTATACAAAGGTTCTTGATCCCAATCATGAAAAGAAATTTAATGGTTCACTACAATGGATTTTACAGAGTACAGATGACTTTGGTATAAAGTGAGTGAGTTTGGTCAATTTGAGAATGAATCCTAAACCAAAACACATTTTGGGAAACAAATCTTTCGAGCAACAGAGTCATCATAACTGCGGGTCTTGTGTTTTAATACACAGGTTGCTTGGCAGTGACTCTGAAGTCAAGGTAAATGATGTGAGTGAAGTACAGTATCTGGAATCCACACATCCACAGATGTCATTTATCTGCCGCTTTCGTCGTGCATTCCTAACTGTCTTGCATAGGATGTTTATATTTCTTGTGGGTGAGTCTCATGATTTTTTCCAGTAGTGTGAAATATCTTTTACGTAATGCTAACTCTCTTGTCTGCCTTCACTTCAGTGTGAATGAGTATAATGGGTAAACTGTTAAGCGGATAAATTATATCGAAGGCAGATTGTCATGTGACATTTTGTAATGAGTAGTATCAAACATTACTAAATAATTAGTCCATTTGGCTAGCTTTGTGTATTTTAAATTATTGTCCTTTCAAAAGTGGGCCTCAACATTGACTTTCTTGAGCATGGTAATTGGAAAGAGGTTAATAATTTGGCCTTTCTGTCAGTTTTTTGTTTTGGATTCCCCTCTTATGGTTAGGGTTCCTAAAGTCCCAGTCTCTGTCCAAAACCTTACATCATGACTCCTAAATCAGAGGCGATCTTCTTCAGACCTAATGGCTAGGATTGTGCATTTTAGATTTCCATTTCATGAATCAAAACTTGATATCAAAATTCTATGGCCTAAAAACTTACGATTTTGTCTACAGGGAAAGTTTTATTTAATGTGCTTTTGTTGAAGAAGAATTTGTTTCTTTGATATTTGGTGTTAAGCACAGTGTCATTTCCTGAAATATAAACATGGTAGATTACATGCAGATTAAACCTTCTATTGTCTCAATCCCCAAATGAACAAGTATAAATTTTCTCATGGCAGCGAATGGGTTTTCAGTTAAACTGCAAATTTTTTAAACTGCACGTTTTTAATCAACGGATCTACTGTTACATTTTCCTTGCTAAGGACTAGATTGACATCCTAACCTCGGATAGGATCATTAGAGAGTTCAAAAATACCATAATGCTTCCAAGTATCTAGGTATTTGCTTTTTGTGTTTCAAGATTAATGCTGTAACATTTTGCAGAAACTACATGCTATTCTGTCAGCTATTATGTAAAAATAGATTTGTATCTAGTGACAGTCCATAAAATAAATGAAAATATCTCTGCTACAATCACAATAAGTCAGGCAATGTTTCTTGCATAAAACTGGCAGAAAGAACCATGCTCTTGGAGTTGGCTGCAGTTTTATGACTTTAATGCTTAAGATGGTGACTTATTTATAATTGCCTGAGGTTTGAAGGGGCTCTGATCTTCACCTTTTTAATGTCCAGGTGTGCAAGCTTGAAAAGATCTAATGATCCACTATCAGATCGTGCTGTTACTGCTAAAATTGCATGCTATTTCAAGATCATTTTGAAAAGCACATTAATCTATTTTTGTATTGTTTCCATTATGCCCACTACATTCTCATGTAGTCCATGAAACTCCTTTCTTGATTCTAATTCCACTAAACTACTGTTGTCAACTTGACTTCCTGGCTCTCCAGGTTAGCCAATATTGACTAAAGTTCTCTCTTTCCCCCTCTTCAGTTATTGTCCATATCCTTTCGAAACATGGCATAATCTCTCCTCAAAAAATCAACTGACTCTACTGTTCCACCCTCCAGCTCCTGTTTCTCTCCTTGACATGTCTTTCAAATCCATTCCCTGTCAGTCTTGAAACTCCATGTTTGCATCTCTGTAATTGGTTGCCTCTGCCATAGTACAAAAATAGCTTGTTAAAGTCTCAAATTATATCCTATGTGTCTGGCAAAAGTGAACTTTCCTTCCTCGTTCTTCTTGACCTGTCTTGACATGATTATTCACATCATTTTCAGTTCCTCTTCCTGTTGTCTGACTGAATGAGACTGCTGACACTTGCATCTATTCTTACCTATAATCATAGCCTGAGAATTACTTGTTTCTCTTCCCACTGCTCCTTTAGAACTTCGCGTCTACCAAAGATCTACCTATGTCCCTGTCCTATTTCGGCTGTGTTCTGCCTCACAGCAGCAGCATCCAAAAACAACAGTATTAGTGTTCATACATGTGCTAAAAAAAAAAATCTAGGTCTACCTAATTACCACCCCTCTTGACTCTGTTCATAAGTTAGCAAGAAGGTTCTTATTTGATATCCAGCAATGGATGGGCAGAAAGTACCTCCAGTTAAATATTTTGAAACCTGAGGCCATAGCTTGGAGCAGGACTGAAAGCAGCATTCCCTAGCTACTGACTTAATTCCTGTCCGTGACCAGATCTGACAAACCAAGTAAATTTGCAATTTTGGTGTCATGTTTGATCTGGAGGCGAGTTTCTGATCTCAATCGTGCCATTACGAAGACCATCTATTTCTAACTCAATAACGTCATCCAATCTCCTTGTTTTTTTTTGCTGCAACTCTTACTTGTGGCCTTTTGTGTCTGTAAATATGACCTCTTCAATACATTTCTGCTGTTTTTTTCCCCCATTCATAAACCAGTCATCCAAAACTCTGATCCCCACATCCTAACTTGCAAGTAGTTAGCTTCTGATCCAGCAATATCTCATCTATGTTTTCAATTTCCTCCATTGCCTGGTTCCTTCCTGTCTTTAATCTCCTCCTCTGCACAAGAGTCTAGTCTCTTGAGCATTGCTAGTGTTAATGCTTCTTCATTGAATATGTCTTCAGTTGTCTGGACCTTTTTCTTCAATACGGTCTCTTTGACTAAGCCTTTAGGTTGACTGATCTAATATCTCTGGTATAGCTTGGTTTCATTCTTTTGAAATGCTTCTATGAAGCCCCTTAGAACATATTATAAGACTATTTAATTAGATGTGATTCATTCTGTACTCGACCTTCCAAATCGATGAGTTTGAAAAACGCCATTTGTAACGCTACAATAAATAGTTTTATAAAATTTAAGATGTTCATTTTATTGGACTGCCTTTTAGAATTAGTTGGTATTTATTTTTAACACTTGTAGGTGTGGGAATTGTGTGGGGAGTGCTTCATTACATGAAGTATCGTTGGTGGAAGGAAGAGGCAGAGACCAGACAGATGTATGACATGGTGGAAAGAATCATAGGTATCTAGCACTTGTTTTGAAATTTGATTGTTTTTGATGGCATTGAAATATGCTAATAAAACATTGTGAAGGCCATTTTCTTTTACAACCTTGTTTTCCAATTACATCCAAAAGCCTTTTTAGATTATTGTTTGTACTAAAAGTGGTTCAAAGTAAATGGTGGCTGACACTTTTTTTGTTTGGTTAGATGTTCTGAGAAGCCATAACGAAGCCTGCCAAGAAAATAAGGACTTGCAGCCTTATTTGCCTATTCCTCATGTACGTGATTCTCTCATACCACCCCAGAATAGGTAAGATAAGTTCATAATATAGATCAAGATGTGAATATTAAACTAATACAATTCTTGAAGATATTCTTTTGTTGCATCTTTACACAAAGCAAATTCTTTTTTGAATTATTCAGGAAAAAGATGAAAAAGGTGTGGGAGAGAGCTGTTGTTTTTGTTGAAACCAATGAGTCCCGTATTCGGAAAGAAACCCAAAGAGTAGGAGGAGGAGATTTCTTAGTTTGGAGATGGACTCAACCATCTTCAACTTGTGATAAAATAACAGTTGTGCCGTCCAAAGTATGGCAAGGAAAAGGTATGAATTTGGCATCCATTGCATATTTTGACACTTAACAGGTCTAATTTTAGACTGCAGGGCTACAACTTGAGTGCCATTCTCTTTAGTTTGCTTGGCACGGTTTGTAGTTAATTGCATGATTTTGTTACAGCGCTAACCTAGTTAGCAAACCATTGTGCAAATTTTATTTTGCACAAGTAATTACAAGTCATCAATTTTAAAACTGAATTGCAATTCTTATTGAACAATTTGAAGTAAGAGGCTCTTACTTCATAAGTGCCGAGATATAGGCAATTTTCTTATTCACGTGGATATGGCCCATTTACTTCAATAAATATTTGGTGTAATGATTATCTTCTCATCCAACAATTTGCACTAACCCCATATTTTTGTGTTGTGCTTAAAATAAATCTGCAAAACCATTTTTGTTTTTTAAAAACTGCACTCCCCACATTAGCTGGGATCAATTAGCAACTGAAATGATTAAATCTTCCTCCACTCTCCAGACGTGGTCAGAGTTAAGTCTAGCTTGGCTTATAACTAGAGAGCCTGCTTACTTAAATTGCACATGAAAATGTAGAGTATATGATTGGCATTAATGAATGTGGTCTGTAAAGCTCCAGGGCCTATGTCATTGGACCATTTTATTATCTCCAACCTAAAAGACTGCATTTTTCCCAGTTACAAATAGTATTTTTCAGTCCTTTCATTTCACTGCTGAGTTTTGCTTTAAATCCTGTGTCTCCACAGAAGTAGATCAGATAAGCTGGTCCTTTTATAATTCAGTTGCAGATTGATTTTTGTTTCTGAACTGGTTGCATGCTGGGAATTGGTCATTTGGACTGATTGTTACTGTTCAATGTAAATGCAAAACACCAATAACAAAAGTAATATTTCAAGTTGAATTTATTTTATCTTTATTCATAGTCCAACCATAATGTGGCCTATTTAAAATCTTCACTTTAAATAGGTAGAACTAACTAATACAAAAAGGCCCAAGATTCAACCTTTTGGGATATTAACATCAATCACACTTTTTCTGCCTCCTTTCCCACTAACTTGGCTGTTTGGCATTTATCTTTTCTATTTGTGAACCACAGAAGAAACTGAATAGAAACAAGTTAATTTCCTTTGCAGTTGGGACTGTATATTGATGCCAGTTTTTGGTCTAAGTTTATTGGTGTGCAAAATATAATAGCCCATTTCATAATCATGATTTGAATGAGTTGTTGCCAAAGCCTAAATATGCCTTCATATTTGTTTTTAGTTCACCACTGCCTTTGAATAGTGCCCAAGTCGAAAGTCTCCTGTTAATCGGAGCAAACTTTACACATTTGCCAAAAGTAGAATATGACGTCAAGTTAGTAAACTGAGTTATCCATGCTATCTCAGTTTTACCACCGTGCTCACACTTGGCACATCAGGGAAATGTAAGCCCTAATCAGTAATTGATATTTGCTAAAGACGAAGTATACCCAATTTTACTCCAATAGCAGAGGTGTTGAATTAGAAGTCTTAATTATTTCTTATGACTGAAAGACCCAAAGCAAATTACTGAAGTGAGTATGCTGTGGAGGAAACAACCTCCTGTTGTCTTCCAGAGAAGGATATTTCGTAATGTTCAAGGTCATTTGACCGTTTTATCTGGAATTTGGCAAGTTGCAATTTTGTTAGAGGTATGATAGCAACATGATACAATGCTGGTGGGTTTACTTTCCAATACATTTTAGATTAAATTGCATCGGGGTATTCATTCTTTTCTGGTCTGCCTTGAAAGCTGGTGTTTTTGGTGCTGCTCTAAGGGCATTCCTGCACTGAATCTGGATCACCTTGCCATGTTGCTACCTTGTCAGGTTTTCTCCTTTTTTACTTTGAACAGATAGCACCTTCTGCACTCTATAATCCAATTGGATTTTTTTTCACTTCTTGCAATGCTGTAGTTTTTCTGGATAAGACTTTAGTAGTTCATTGTTTGCAGTTCAGCCAAGAGTCAAAGCAAGCAAAATAATTACTCAAACACAAAGCTGAAAAGATATGAGAAAAGACTTCAGTGAGCATAGATGATGGCAAGGACTGATGGGTCCAATTGGTCTGTTTGTTTTTTTTTGTATCGTAAATGCTGTGTAATCCTAATGTTCCAAGACTTAAAGCTTGATGGTAGCAGACCTACCTTTTTGCCACATCTTTTATATACACTAAGCAAGGTGTTTTCCCAGAGCCACTAAAGCTGTACTTGCATCCTTTTTTGGTAGGAGGATGTAACAATTCCTAGAAACATAGGAGATAGGAGCAGGAGGAGGCCATTTGGCTCCTTGAGCCTGCTCCACCATTCTTCACGATCATGGCTGATCGTCCAACTCAATAGCCTAATCCTGCTTTCTCCCCATAACCTTTGATCCCGTTCACCCCAAGTGCTATATCTAATCGCTGCTTGAATACATTCCATGTTTTGGCATCAACTACTTCCTGTGATAACGAATTCCACAGTCTCACCACTCTTTGGGTGAAGAAATGTCTCTTCATCTCCATCCTAAATTGTCTACCCCGAATCCTCATACTGTGACACCTGATTCTGGACACCCACCATCGGGAACATCCTCCCTGCATCCACCCTGTCCAGTCCTGTTAGAATTTAAGTCTCTGAGATCCTCCCTCATTTGTCTGATCTCTAGTGAAAACAATCCCAACCTAGTCAGTCTCTTCTTGTATGTCAGAACTGCCATCCCTGGAATCAGCCTGGTAAACCTTCGCTGCACTCCCTCGAGAGCAAGAGCATCCTTCCTCAGAAAAGGAGGCCAAAATGGCACATGATAGTCCAGGTGTGGCCTCACCATGGCCCTGTACAACTGTAACAACACATCTCTGCTCCTGTACTCAAAACGTCTCGCAATGAAGGCTAACATACCATTCGCTTTCTTTACCGCCTGCTGCACAAGGGCAGCCAGGTCCCACTGCACACTCCCCTCTCCCAATTTACAGCCATTCAGGTAGTAATCTGCCGCCTTGTTTTTGCTTCCGAAGGGAATTATCTCACGTTTATCCAAATTATACTGCCATTGATTTGCCCACTCTCCCAACCTGTCGAGATCATTCTCTGCATCCTCGTCACAGTTCACCCTCTCACCCAACTTGGTATCATCTGCAAATTTGGAGATGTTACATTTTGTTCCTTCATATAACTTATATATTGTGAATAGCTGGGGTCCCAGCACCAATCCCTGTGTCACCCCGCTAGTTACTGCCTGCCAATTTGAAAAGGACCCATTAGACATAGTAAGAACTGCCGATGCTGGAGTCAGAGATGAGCGTGGAGCTGGAGGGACACAGCAGGTCAGGCAGCATCAGAGGAGCAGGAAAGCCGACGTTTCGCAACGGGTCCTGACCAAAAACATTAATTCCTACTCTTTGTTTCCCCTCTGCCAACCAGTTTTCTATTCACCTCAATAAACTTCTCCAATCTCACCCACTTTAATCTTGCACATTAATCTCTTGTGTGGGACTTAGATTATCAGGCCCCAGGGATTTATCAGCCTTCAATCCCAACAATTTTCCCAGCACCGTTTCTTTACTAAAACTGATCTCCCTCAGTTCTTCCCTCCCTCTAAATCTTGCATCCTCTTAACAATTCTGGTATCTGATTTGTGTCCTCTTTCGTGAAGACAGAGCCAAAGTATGTATTCAGTTCCTCAGCCATTTCTTAGTCCCCTATTATACATTCCCCCATCTCTGCCTATAGGGGACCTAAGTTTATCTTTACTAATCTCTTTCTCCTCTTGTACCTCTAGAAACTCTTAGCATCAGTCTTTATCTTCCCTGCAAGCTTACTTTTGTACTCTCTTTTTTTTCCCTTCTTAATCAATCCCTTAGCTCTTCTTTGCTGAATTCTAAACTGCTTCCAATCCACACATTTATTATTTTTCTTGGCCAATCTGTATGCTTTTTCCTTGGATTGGATGCTGTCTCTTATTTCCTTTGTAAGCCATGGATTGGCAGTCTTACCCATTTTGCTTTTGCAACAGATAGGAGTAGACAGTTGTTGTAGTTCCCCATGCATTCCTTGAATGTTAGCTATTGTCATCCTGTTAAGTAACTCTCCCCAGTCTATCAAGGCCAACGCTCACCTTGTTATTTCCTTCATTAAGGTTCAGCACCCTAGTCTCAGAATCAACAACCTCATTCTCCATCTTGATAAATTCTATCATGTTATGGTTGCTCTTCCCCAAGGAGTCTCGCACAGCTAGATTGGCAATGATTCCCTTCTCATTATACAGCACCTAGTCTAAGATGGCCTGCTCTCGAGTTGTTTCCTCCACATACTGGTCAAGAAAACCATCTGTGTACACTCCAGGAATTCCTCCTCTACGGCATTGTGGCTAATTTGATTTGCCGAGTCTGTTAGATTAAAATCACCCAGGTCACTGATATTCTGTTATCACGTGCATTTCTAATTTCCTGTTTAATGCCATTCTCGACATCACTGCAGTTTCGGGGTCTATACATGACACCTACTAATGCTTTTTGCCCCTTGGTGTTTCTCAACTCTACCCATACAGACTCCACATTGTCAGAGCTAATATCCCTCCTCACTATTGTGTTAATTTCCTCTTTAACCAGCAATGCCGCTCCGCCACCTAAACCTTTTTTGCCAGTCCTAAGTACTGAATACCCTGGGACATTCAGTTCCTATCCCTGGTTGCCCTGTAGCCGTGTCTCCATAATCCCAATTACATTGTACCCATTTACTTCTATCTGCATGATTAGTTCATCCACTTTATTCCAGAATCTCTGCGCATTAAGGCACAAAGCCTTAAAGCTTGTCCTTTTAACGGTGTTTGTCGTCTCATTTTTCTCATAGCCTTGTTTGAATCTTGTCCTTGGCTTCTCAGCCTATCACTTTTTTTTCTGATTCCCTTTTAATAACTTTTATTTTTGTTCTTGCTGCCGCCTTCTCTGTCTCTTTATGTAGGTTGCTATCCCCTGGCATATTAGTTTGAACACCACAACCACAACCAACACCACCACCACCACCACCACAACCTCAACCACCACCCCAGGACATCAGTCCCAGTCCTGCCCAGGTCTAACGTGTCCAATTTGTACAGGTCCCACCTCCCCAAAACTGGTTCCAATGCCCCTGGAATCTGAAAACCTCCCCCGACACCATCTTTGCAGCCATGCATTCATCTGGTATATCTGGTTTCTCCTCTGACTAGCACGTGGCACCGGTACTAATCCTGACATCACTTCCTTTTGAGGTCTGATTTTTTTAACTTTCTTCCTAGCTCCCCATGTTCTGGCTTTAGGACCTCATCCCTTTTTCACCTATGTCATGTGTACCTTGATCACTGGCTGTTCACCCTCCCTCCATCCTGAACGTCCTGTACCTGCTCCGAGACATCCTTGACCTTAGCACCAAGGAAGCAGTTTCCCACCCTGGAATCTCATTTGCAGCCACAGAAACGCCTGTCTATTCCCCTTACTGTTGAGTTCCCCCATAACTATTGCCCTGGCACACTTTTTACCCCCCTCCTCTGCAGCAGAACCAACTTTGGTGCAATTAGTTTGAAGTCAAATTGAAGTTTCGAAATCTTGCCATTTAGCTTTTACTCTTTTCTCAAGGTGATTTTGCTTCAGCACAGCCGTCATTACTTTGGTATCCTACTGGAGTTTGAATTCAAAGTTTGGTTACAGTAGCTATAATGCTGTCATGCAGAGTAATGATCATATGTGAGTCTTTACCAGCTGACAATGGAATGAGAGGGACATTGCAGACAGATCTGATGTATGTGCTAGAATTCTGCCTAGAATTTATTGATGTATTGCAGTAGCGTGTGGAAATCCTCAAATATCTTAACTCCACTTGAGACCAGGTACAATGGCAGTGCTTTTATTAATGTATTGTTTGAATATAGGTGAAAGCTTTTTACCCTGGCAAATGAACTAGCATAAATCACTAATTTTACATAATTCTTTACAACTGGATGGAATAAGTTTTTTTTTGTATAATAATTTATAGCATGAAAGTGTTATGATCTTGAGGAAGAGCATTAACTTTTACGAAATCAAATTCCCAGTAGTTAATTAAAAGAATTATACATTATGGATTCATGTTTGTGTTTTTCTTATTGTACAATCGTTAAAGCAGGTAGTGCTAATTTTAACACCATTTCATATACCCTGAAATATTAACAGACCACTTCCCATTTTTTTTTTTAAACCGAAATGTTCCCCTGTATGTTACAGGATCTTTAAGGTTCTTTCATTTCTTCTGACACCAGATCAAATATGCCATAGCTCTCAGGACTTGACTTTGATTCTCCTCAATTTCCCAGTCTGGCACCTAGACTTCCAGAGCTTGCACTTTCTCCGAGGATTCCACATCTGATCTATCTTGGCTTTAGCAGGCGTATCGGAATTTATAAATTGTTTATTATTTTGGACTTTTCCAAGGATGAGTCCCATTCATGTTTCTTGCTTACTGTCTTCAAATCATTAACGACCTGTTCCAAGTGGCCTCTGGGCCTTTGTTCTGATTGCCTGTCGGTCACACACCGCTGCAGTCTTAGTCTTTCAAGCTAACTGCCATTTGTGTGAGGGGGAAAAAAATGCACAAACAAACCCAAAACAAAAGACTGCCTTCTTGAAATCTAATCCCATTGCTATATGTCCAGCTGGAATGTCCCGGATAAAGAATCAAACCAATTAATTTCCAACCTGAAGTATGTTCAGCTGAAAAGTGTATTGCTAATTTAAGACCACTCTGGTCTACCCATTTACTTCAAACCTTTCTTTGATTTGGGATCCACGTGAATAATTTAAATTCGTTATGAAGACAATTGTAGACATCTCTCTAACAAAGTCTGGAAAAATAGCTGTTTTTGTTTTGTTTAGTGCTTTCACACTCCAACCTCTGACCTTGTTATATAAAATTGGATTATCCTGTACTGGTAATTATTTATTTAGGTGTTTACTATTAACAAGTTTGCTTAATCTGGGTTCTTGTCACAGGGTTTAAAAATTTACATTACTGAAATTAAGTTTTTTTTATTCCTGAAATACGATCATGAAATTGCATTTTCATAACCATAGATTCTGATATTTTTCCTTGGATAGCCTTCCACCTTGATGGTAGAAATTCTCCACCTAACAGTTTGACACCCTGTTTAAAGATTCGGAATATGTTTGACCCTGTCATGTAAGTATCTGATGAGATATGGTGATTCATTTGAAATGTGCAGACAAGGCTGCAATCTTGTAGTTATCAGATTTAGCATGTTAAACTGGCTACAAATTTACATTTATCTTGTAAATTTGGAAAAAAGTGAGCAAATTGTAATTTGAAAGTTTTAGTTCAATAATTTGGCTCTAAATGTTGAAAGGTGTAATTTGTTTAGTGCTTGACTCACAGGATTATCAAAGTTTTAAGAATAATAGCAAGCTGTAATTCACAATTTCAGATTATTACTGCTGAGCTGATATTCATTCTTAATCCAATTTCTTTTTAATCATTAGAGTAGTAAGAAATAAGTTTAAATCTTTTTTTTTCTAAATGCTAATTTGTATCAGACTTGAAGAGATTTGCATAAAATAGTAATAAGTAATTTTAGAATAGCACAGTAATGAGCTAAGTTTCCCTGTAAATTCTCTTTCAGGCATTTTTGTTTAAATATGGGTTAAATTTGAAAAAATTAGTTGTGAAGTTTCTCCAAGGCTTCAATATTTTGTAATCTCTTCATTGTTTAAATGATGTATAAGTAATGTCTGTTGTTTACTCTCTTCAAACCCTGCTGTACTGCCAAATCTTAAAGCAGGATTCTTCTACGCAGTCTATCCTAATTAACATAGGCCTATGGTAGCATTCCTGCAAGGGGGAATCTAATGGATGCAGTATTTTAGGGTTTCAAAAATAATTCATTTTAGGTGTAATGGAAGTTTATTATACAAAATTTAGGCTCATAAAATTGGGGGTATTAGCACAGATTGAGGCCTGGTTAATAGCCACAAAACTTAGGCATAAAGTTGTCATTTTAGTATTGGCATATTGTAATTAGTTGGGTACCACAAGGATCAGTGTTTGGTCTTCAGCTATTTGCAATCTATATGAATCAACTTGTTTCCTGCATCTAAGTAAATGTATCCCAATTTGTTGTTGATACAAAACTAACAGGGAAAGGAACAAATAAGGGCAATAAAAGTACGTGGGTAGGTTGAATGACCATGATAGTGGCAGACAGAATTTTTAATACAGAAAGATGTGAAGTTATTCATACGAGTAAGAAAAGGTACTTGTTGAAGTTTTTTTGTCTTGCATTGGTCTGGACAATTTGCAAGAAAATAGACATTTGTATTGTAAACCTGGGCAGTTAACTGTCAGTCATGAGCTGTTGCATTCTCCATAATAACATCTCTGCCAGAGTCTACTTGCCAAACTATCAGCACACTCCAGTTGTACAGTATGAATATTGATCTCCCCTTAATTTAGTTTTCTTCTAAATTGTCTTGATGAACGCAAGTTGCAAGGCATCAACAAACTTCTTAGCAGTACTTGAGTTCAATACAACTAAGTGGCTATTAGTAAGAAAAATAGAAAAGTAGATTTCTGGAAGACTGACTAAATATTATTATTTAGAGGGATCTGCCAGTCTTTAGTGGGAAAATCATGCATTTAACAAGAAACAGCAAGCAGTTGGCAAAGCAAATTGTTTCAGTCTTCACTTTTTTTTCTATCACTTTGTAATAAAGAAGCTGTGCTATAATTTGTGTCTTGGTGAGAACAGACCTGGAGTACTGTGTACACTCTGGCCTCCTTACCTAAAGAATGATACACAGTAAACTTATCTAGCATTGATGGGACCAGGAGTGTGCTGGTTGATCAGACGTTCTGGTTGATCAGGAGGTCCACATAATCAATGTAAAAACACACTAATAGTAACATAATTCAGTGGGTGTACACAGCACTAATGCTTTACTTACAGCATAAATCACTTTAACAATGCAACTTTGCCTTGAATAAAACTTACCAGCAGAGAGTTTTCTCACTTGCACCCTCAACTGACTACTGTGACATCGCAATAATACAGTAAACATCTGGTATTTCGGGTATATAATTGTTGCTGGTTTATCGAGAGTGCTGTTTCATAAGGTGCTGGTTAAAACTAAGTTTGCTGTACTTGGAAAGAATGTAATGATTTGCTCATTAGAATTATTCCTGCAATGAGAAGATTATACTATAAGAAGAGTAGCATAGACTAGATCTGTATTCCCTAGAGATCGTGGTGTTATTGAAACAGAATTCTTAAAGCTTGACAAACTCTATACTGGAGGAATGTTTTCTCTTTCTTGAGGCTAGATCTAGGAGTCGGAGTTCTGAATAAGGGATCAAATGTCGGAGGCTGAGTGAGGAGAAATTGTTTCACTCAATGTTGAAGGTTTAGAATTCTGTACCCAGACAGCTATGGAAGCGTGTCTGACTAATTTAGTTTTTCAAGGAAGTTTCAACAAGAATGGATGCAGGGGAACCAAAAGGTGAGTTGTATTTAGAATTCCAGAAAGCTTTTGACAATGAAGTCATGAGATGAGTCAGTGGCATTGGAGATAGTATATTAGCATGGATAGACAATTGGCTAATGGGCAGGAAACAACCAGTGAGGGTAAAGGATTATTTTTTAGGTTTGCAACCTGTAACCAGTGGGGTTCTGCAGGGATCAGTGCTGGGACCACAGTGGTTTACAGTATATATTAAAGACCTGGAGGAGGAAAAGAAATATACTATAGCCAAATTTACAGACAACAAGAGATACAAACATTTTACAGAGAGATAATAAGTGGGTAGAAAATTGGCAAATGGAGTATAATGTAGGAAATGCAAAGGAAAGGGAGAATAGTATTATTATGTAGAGGAAAACTGCAGAAAACTACAACACAAAAGGACTTGGGGGTATCTCTGCACAAAACAAAGCTAGCTCCGGTGCAGAAGGTAATCAGGAAAGCTGATGGAATGTTGGCCCTTATTTCAAGGGGGTTGGAGCACAAGAGTGGAGAAGTCTTAATGCAACAATACAAGGTGTTGGTGAGACCACATCTGTGGTACTGAGGGCAGTTTTGGTCCCCTTTATAAGTGGTTGGAACCCACTGGAGTTAAGAAAAATGAGGTGATCTCATTGAAGCAGGATTCTTAAGGGGGCTTGACAGTGTAAATGCTGAGAGGATGCTTCCCCTTGTTGGAGAGTCTAGGACTAGAGGACATAGTCTCTGAATAAAGAGATGCCAATTTTGAGACTGAGCTGAGCAGGAATTTCTTTTGAGGGTTGAGTATCTTCAGAACTTGTTCCCACAGTGAGTGAGGGCAAAGTCCTTGTGTATATTTAAGGCTGAGATGGATTCTTAGTCTGTAGGGGAATCGAGGGTTATGGGGAAAACGCAGGGAAGTGAACATGAGCAAAGTTTGATCAGCTGTGGTCCTATTGAATGAAGGAGCAGGTCAAGTGACCAAACAGCTTCCTCCTGTTCTTATTTCTTGTGGTCTTTATGGAAGCTTTGGTATTGAATATACTTAAGTCAGATCAATATATTTTGGATACTGGGGGAACTGGAGTATACAGGGATAGTGTGAGAAGATGGAATCAGCCGTGGAATTATTGAACAGCAAGGAAATGGCTCCTCATCCTATTTCTTTTGCAGTTGTTGGCCCTGCTGCTCTTAGTTTTTCTAGAATTTGCTAGTACAAGAATGAGTCCAAATGTAAAGGTACACAAACTAGGAAGAAAGATTTGGAAATGTACTGATATGTATGAACTGGTCTTTGTTTCAAAGGAGGTTTATAACAACAGCTTATGCTTGTGTAGCACCTTCTAAAGTGATTTAAATATCCCAAATACTTTGATACGACTTTGAGCTTTTGGGTCCGATAACAGAAGGTTGGACAGGTTTTTTAAGGAGTGCCTATTTAAAGGAGGAATGCAAGGCTTGAGGTAATTTCTGAGTTCCGGGATATCCAATCTTTTCTGTCCTTTAGAAAGGTATATGTTTATAAAGTGTTTCCAACCCATTTATTGCATAACCTTCATTAAGATATTCCAAGATCCAGAGATGAATGCCCAGTGTCTACTCCACAATGCTATCCAGTTCTGATTGTAATATTTTTGGCTACTTTGCAATTTGCATTTTCTATTTTTTTAAGGAATAGATTTTAATTACTCTTTATTTTACAGGGAAATTGGGGATGACTGGCATATTGCAATTCAGGAAGCAATCCTAGAAAAGTGCAGTGACAATGAGGGAATCGTTCATATTGCAGTGGATAAGAATTCACGTGAGGTTGGGAGTACTACCTATTTTAGGCAGATTCTAATTTCTCATCTTGGTGTCTTACTGCTGCCTAACTGATTTACTTAAAGTCTGAGAATTTTCTTGCAACTGATCTGGTTTCCTTTTTTTTTCGCCCAAACGCAGTAATTTCCTCCATTCTCTCTTCTATAGGGTTGCGTGTATGTGAAGTGTTTGTCTCCAGAATATGCTGGCAAGGCTTTTAAAGCACTTCATGGGTCATGGTTTGATGGTAAGATGCTTTAAAATTGCTTAGGTTTTACATTTTCAAACTACAGAATAATTTGCTAAATTCAAAACAGAAAACGTTTTTGGAAAAATCTTTCAATTCAGCATCTTATTAAAATGAATGAATTACTGTACTAGAGTGGAAGTTTTTAATGAGCAATACAAATTTACCGGCAAATCAGACCTGTCTGTACACCACTTTTTTTTTATTGCTTTTACACTTCTGCTAACAGCTAGAATTACATTTGAGAGGCAGAGGGGGTGTTGCAGTAACGTGCATGTTTCATTATCCCTAGAATCCAAGACACTGGGTCCTGTACACATGAACTTTTAGTGCCGTTTTAACCGTATAGTTTTGTGAAAGTGGCATGTTGAGGCCAACGTTTTCCCATTTAAAAAAAAAAGATTATCAAAATCTGAGGGCACCAGGGGAACAAATATTACCCTTTAAAATTTTGATTTTCTTTTACCTTGGATTGCAGAATATTAGAGGAAATTATGATCACTTAATAAGCAAACAGTTGCACATGTGTACTTGTAAGTGGTTTTTTAAATTGGCAAAAGTAGCATAGTTGCAATTGACTACCGCAAACTAATTGTATTTTGTTCAAAATTGTATTATTATGCTATGGCATTGTATTGAATATATTTCCCTCATGGTGTTTACTGGAGTCTTAATTAACCTGTTTTTGTTTTTTTAGGAAAACTAGTGACTGTAAAATATCTGAGATTAGATCGTTATCATTATCGCTTTCCTCAGGCTGTCCATTGCAACACTCCATTAAAGCCATCAAGTAGGTACATGAATTCAATGTCGCATCTGCGTCTTCTGACCAACACAGCTAACTCTCAAGGAGCCTCGTGAGACCTCTCCTATCCCTGCCAGTGCTGTTACACTGCAGCAAGAGAAGTCCTGCTTGAATGCTCTGTCTTCCTTTTTATTGCTTTTATATGTACACTTTTTGTATTATAAGGAGTGCATCTTCTGTGTTAAGATGCCAAGAAGCTGGAGAAAATTTCCAAAGGAGCTATCTGTAACATTTTGGTGTATTGGGATAAACAAGTAGTGGCATAGAAGTAAAACAAGATGTGACTTTCATGCAGCGGTTATTAATTCTTAGACTGTGGGTTGGGCATGAACAGTTTTGTTTAATGGCACTAGGTGATGTTTTGGATGTCTTGGGGATTAATCATGCATACCATGGTTCAGTCAGTATTTGACCACTGAACTAAAGGAGAGGATATCAGTTGGTCAGATGTGACTATTCAAAATCTGTTTGCATTTTTTTGTTGGAATTTTGAGTTGCAGTGCTTGAATGTAAATTTGCGAGCAGTTTGATACAAGATGGGCATCTGATAATTGCGAACAACATGGAGCGAGTACACAACATGTAGGGCACAGTGCAACAGCTGTTGATAGCTGTCAGCAGAAATTTGAAATGAATAAGGGCAACTTCATAATGTGGCTGTCTACTTAATGAGATTTGATTTATTTTGTGCAATAAACATGTCTGGATTAAATATGGATTAATAATAGCACTATCATGCAGGAAGAAGAAAACCAGCAGTGTTATGGAGTGTCATAATTTGCAGAATGACAAATGTGCAGGTTACTCAAATAATAAAAAAGAAAAATGACGTACTGTGATTAACAACTTGGTCTATATTCCATTAAGTAAATGCAAGCAATCTGAATTATGGAAATTTTCATAGAATGAGTATAGCTTTATGTTCATTTAATCTTGCTTTTGTTCATTGTTTATTCCAAATTTAGGTCATAATCTGCAGGTGATACATTTCAGCATGGAATTGCACAAAATGCACAATTTTCTGAGTAAACATGATGCACACTGCCTGCAGCAGAGCCTTACTGTGCCTTACCTTTGTGTGCTTGATGCAGGCACTGTAATGAACAGGAATGTAACTTAATTCCAGATTTCACACAGAAAAGTAACCAGTTTGTTCTGTACAACTTTTTTGTTGCACTTTGGTTAAGAAGTTGTACTAAAGTAAAGCAAGGAATCTTGCTGTACCATGTGTGCATCATGTGATGGTGTTAATATTATTCACGTTTTTGGGCCAACCCATGATGCACCTGGTTTGTTGATCTGTTGTAAGACTGAATGTGCAAGTGGA